CAGCATGGCATCCCTCGATGCATGCATCCAGGAGCTGTTTTCAAGCCAGGAGGAAGGTAGCCAGTCACAGCGGATGGTGCTTGGGGAAGAACAAATAGCAGATGGGGTGCCCAGTAAGCGGCTTTTATTTTGAGAAGGGAGTTGTTGGGTGCAGGCTGTTGGGGCAAGGAGGGATGCAGAAAGAAAGGTTAGGGCTGCGTGCATGCCTAGATGCAGAATAGGGCATTGATGTGCTCTCTCACATCGTGGTAATCGGCCTCAGTGATCTCATCGAAGGTCTCATGCAGAAGCTGGGCAATCCACTTGTGCAGGTTCCTTGGCAGAGCTACTGTGCTCCTTGTCCCAGTAAGGCTAACATATCCATGCCACTGTACTGTATCGGGCGGGGGGACACAGGCCAGGTCAGAAACCGCATTGTTGCAGAAGACCCTCCCTTGCTTCCCAGATCACCCTCAGCAGCGAGATATCTTCCAGGATGAACCCATCCTGTGGAAAACATGGAAAGTGTTCCATGACTATAGGGGCCCTCTGCAGCTGTTGGCTCTCCCCAAGGCACAGGACCCCAAAGAACAGTACGACCCTGGAACAATGAGTCTCCCTTACCCCTGTGGTTACTCACCGTTTCAGAGGTCTTATGGGTTATGTGCGCTTGCCTTGGGACAGGCAGTTTGTGCTATTGTGTGCGCTGTCCTTGTCTATAAGTTCGGCCAAATCATTGCTCTGTCTAGTGTTAACAATGCTGCCTCTGTTAAATGTTGCATTTTGGCTTTACAGATGCAATGTTGAGATCCAAGTCATCCTTGTTATCAACGGCCGAAAGGCTGCAAAGACTCAGGAAGCGGCTGCAAAGAAGCAAGGAGGAGCTCCTGCATGAAGTCATGCAGCAGTCCCTTACTGAAAATAAAAAAGTACAGGAGTGGCAGGAGATCGAAAGGAGGGTCCCCCAGGAGAATGTGGATCACCAGCAACAAACCATGGAACAGCTTCTGAGCATTATGGAGCACCAAGTGGACTCGATGTAGGCACTCATAGCACTGCATATGGAGCAGACCTGCGCCCGCCCCACCCCTGCAGCCCCAAACTCTTTCCCTTGTGTCCCCATGTCACTGCCAACCCACTTACCTCAACTTCCGGTTTCTTATTGCCACCAGCTGCCTCCAACACCTTTAGCTTTACTGCCCAGCCCTGCAAACTACAATCCTTACCCACTGCACTCAACCCCCATCACCATGCACTTTAGCCAGCCTGCAGTGCAGCACTCATTGCACGGCACTCCAGACAGGATGGCTGAGTATGATAACAGGACATACATAAATCTGTGATTTTTCTGTTCCCCACCCTGCCCCCTTCTCTCCACCCACACACCACAGATGTGGTGTTTCTCCAGCAGTTGTGTTTCTTTTCAATAAATGATTTTGTTTTTGTTTTTGGAAACATTCTTTATTACATTCAGTAAAAGACAGCATAGTCCTGGAAAGCAACAGGCACTGCTAGTCAGTGCATCATACGTAGCAAACACAGATGCCTACTAGCATTGGAACCACTGCACTTCACTCCCGTGCAGGGCACCAAAAATTACTGGTGGCTTTCAGCATCTAATTGCTCCCTCAAGGCATCCCTAATCCTTACAGCCCCACGCTGGGTTGCTCTAATAGCCCTGGTCTCTGGCTGTTCAAATTCAGCCTCCAAGCATTCAACCCCAGCAGTCCATGCCTGAGTGAAGCTTTCACCCTTCCCTTCACAAATATCATGGAAGGTACAGCACGCGGCTATAACCGTAGGGATGTTAAAAGCAACGGAGGGTCCTGTGGCACCTTTGAGACTAACAGAAGTATTTGGAGCATAAGCTTTCGTGGGTAAGAACCTCACTTCTTCAGATGCAAGTCATCCTTAGGGATGTTGTCATTGGCCAGGTCCAGCTTCCCATACAGACAGTGCCAGCAGCCCTTTAAATGGCCAAAAGCACACTCAACAGTCATTCTGCATTGACTCAGCCTGTTGTTGAACTTCTCCTTACTGCTGTCAAGGCTCCCTGTGTATGGTTTCATGAGCCAGGGTATTAAAGAGTATGCGGGGTCTCCAAGGATCACAAAGAGCATTTCAACTTCCCCTATGGTAATCTTCTAGTCCGGGAAGAAAGTCCCAACTTGCAGCTTCCTTAACAGGCTGGTGTTCTGAAAGATGCATGCGTCATGCACCTTTCCAGACAAGCCTGCATTAATGTCCGTGAAATGCCCATGTTGATCCACAAGCACCTGAAGAGGCATTGAGAAATACTCCTTCCGATTTATGTATTCGGAGGCTAGGTGATCTGGTGCCAGAATTAGAATACGTGTGCCATCTATCGCCACCCCGCAGTTAGGGAAACTCATTTGTGCAAAGCCATCCACAATGTCACTCACATTGCCCAGAGTCACGGTTCTTTTGAGCAGGATGCGATTAATGACCCTGCACACTTGTATCAACACAATTCCAAAAGTAGATTTGCCCACTCCGAACTGGTTAGCGACCGACTGATCTGGAGTAGCCAGCTTCCAGATTGCAGTAGCCAGGCGCTTCTCCACTGGCAGAGCAGCCCTCAATCTCATGTCCTTGTGCTGCAGGGTGGGGGGGAGCTCAGCACATGGTCCCATAAAAGTGGCTTTCCTCATCCAAAAGTTCTGCATCCACTGCTCGTCATCCCAGACTTGCATGACGATGTGATCCCACCACTCAGTGTCCCTTTCCCAAGCTCAAAAGCGGCAATCCACGGTGGTGAGCATGTCCGTGAATGCCACGATCAATCTCCTTTGAGACTAACAGAAGTATTGGGAGCATAAGCTATGCAAGGCATCTGAAGAAGTGAGGTTCTTATCCACGATAGCTTATGCTCCCAATACTTCTGTTAGTCTCAAAGGTGCCACAGGAC